CTGAGTCTAATCCAGCTCTGAGAAAGGGACATTTGTCAAAATGATGTTACATTGGTAGTTATAAATGCTTTATGGCAACTGAAATGTATTAACTATAAGTTATTATGTATGTGGACACCAGTAACAGTTAAGAAACATGAGTTTCTCTGATTATTGCTTGTGCATGTAACCCTCAGTAACTGGTTAGAGAAACATGAGGAAGTCCTTATCTTGGTTTTGAGAAACCAACATATGCTAGCTGGAGCACTCTGAAAGAAAACAACACACTGTGACATGCCAACTATATTATGCCTCAGAGGGTAGAGTGGGTCATATACAACACATTATATAAATAAACTAAATATTTTATATTAAATATTCTTTCAGGTACAGACACAGGGAGCAGGGAGGACACAAATGCAGGACACACAAATACCTCCTAGACAATTCAGACAGAACAGGGCAGGGCAAGGCAAAAACAGAAGCAGAAACAGGTTTATTACCAGGTAGGTTTACACGTACGAGGAATTTGACTTGATGTCGTGGTGCATACATAAAAGTAAAACAAAAATGTAAAACACAGATAGAGAACTAGAAAAATATTTAAAATAATAACAACTATAGTAAAAATATAACAGTATTTACTGAACAGAACTCTTACATGATTGAGAAACACCAAAAGAAAACCAGAACTTAAATACATGCAGAACTATCTCAAGGACAAGACACAGCTGGGCAGGGCTGGAAAATCACAAGGGCACCAGGTGAAAAGAATCAGGTAATGGAACAGGAAGGAAAACACAGAGACAGGAAGTGAAAACAGACATAACACAGGGGTGAACACTTTTCAAAATGAAACAGAAAACACTGACCGATTGTGACATATACTGCATGTTTACGTATACATGTACAGGTGTATCATTAGCTCAAATGACAAATTAGCCTAGTTCTTAAAACAAAATAAGTGATGATTAACAACATTTCGACACAATGAAATGGAATGAAAGTCCATCACTTGCAAAGTTGAGGTAAACTGTGTTGTGCTGTCTTCCTTTAATGCGGCCTTAAAACAAAATAGTGTAGTGCCGAGAGAAGGGAGACGGAGGCGGTGTATCGGAGGTGCAAATCTCTCTTTATTGGGGAGCAGAAACTGACATGCTATCGGGTCGAAGCCGCAGAAGAGAAGAGAAAGTGAAAGGGACACACACACTGTAGGTACCCCGGAGGTACCGTCAACATATATGTCCGGGCGGAAACAATACCCCCAACCTGTAGTTCCCGGATTGAATTATGTAACCCCAGTGTATGAATCAGTGATCACTACACAAGCCCCCCCAGAATTCAACCATGGACACAATCCTCGCGTCCGGGAGGAAGCACCACAGGGGCCGAGGAGGGCGGGCCATGGAACGGGCCGTCGTCAGGGGGCCGCAGGAGAGGGTCGCGTCGTGGGGACAGGCGTGAAACACCCGGAGGTCCCCAGCAGGGAGGAGCGCTGCCCGGCCGCAGGCGAAGGCACAGCGGCGGCGGGCACGAAGTCCTCGGGAGGAAGGAGCCATGTCCCCGGGAGGAGGGAGACGTGGACAGGGGAGAGGCCAGACGGGGCGCCGTCGAGGCGAACCGTGAGCCGCGGTTAGAGGAGAGGCCAGGCAGGGTCCCGAAGCGCGCCACCCGCGGGCCGATGAAGGCACGGGTGACGTTCGAAACCGCCGAGGCGAGGGAAGAGGCGAGACGGGGTCCAGAAGCGCGTCACCCACGGGCCGAAGCAGCCGCGTGTGACGTCCGAAACCGCCGTCGAGGTGGTGATAATAGCGAGAGGGTCCACATGAGGCCGACCAGACATGGTCGAACCTCCTCTCAGACACCAGAAAAAGCTCAAAAATGGTCGTCCCGTCCACGAACAAAAACAGGTGGGCGAAATAGCGAGAGGATCCACGCGAGGCCGACCAGACTTGATCGAACCTCCTCTCCGGCACCACAAAAAAACTAAAATAAAAATAAAAAAAACAGTCGGATGTCAGCCGCTAGCTGCTGTGGCTAGCCGTTGTTAACTGTTGCCAGCTGCTAGCCGATAGCAGTCATGGCTAGCTGATCTCGGCGGCCGTTAGTCTCTGGCCGGACATGCAGCCGCATGTCCCGAACCAACCCGGCACGGTCGCGTACCAGCCCCATGGAAGGCTTGCCGTCCCCCAGAGCCGAAAAGCCGTGGAAATGGCGAGCGTCGTCCGCGTCCATTCCGTGGGGCGCACCGAGCCACAGTCCGAGCGCACGTGGCAGCTACGGAGGTCTCCAAAAATCCCCGGCATTTCGAGAAAAAACAAGAGTCTTTTTGCCGTGTTCGAGTCAGTCCCGGATCCTTCGCGAGACTTATGTCAGGGTCACCAATGTAGTGCCGAGAGAAGGGAGACGGAGGCGGTGTATCGGAGGTGCAAATCTCTCTTTATTGGGGAGCAGAAACTGACATGCTATCGGGTCGAAGCCGCAGAAGAGAAGAGAAAGTGAAAGGGACACACACACTGTAGGTACCCCGGAGGTACCGTCAACATATATGTCCGGGCGGAAACAATACCCCCAACCTGTAGTTCCCGGATTGAATTATGTAACCCCAGTGTATGAATCAGTGATCACTACACAAGGCTTGTTTGAGACGAGCTGCGGCTCGCCTCGAAAGTAGACGAGAATAGCCGATCGCAGCCGGGGGAGGTCTCAAAAAACTCGCCTGAAGTCGGACAGCTCGGAGTCGGCTTCTTCTTCTTCTTCTTCTTCTCTCGGTTTTTTTGGCGGATTTTAAACAACTTTAAGGTGCATACCGCCACCTCCGGAGTCGGCTTGACTCGGTTTGCATTTATAAATGCACACGGCATCTATTGCACGTCTGTCCGTCCTGGGAGAGGGATCCCTCCTCTGTTGCTCTCCCTGAGGTTTCTCCCATTTCCCCTTTAAACTGTCGGTTTTTCTCTGGAAGTTTTTCCTTGTATGATGTGAAACGTAAGGACAGAGGGTGTCGTATTGTCATACTGATATTCTGTACAAACTGTGAAGTCCACTGAGACAAATGTAACATTTGTGATATTGGGCTATATAAATAAACATTGATTGATTGATTGATAAAGAATGGACAAATGTGTTTAATCGTTAATGTCAGATATGTACTAAGTAAATACATTTGTTCCTGCTCAAGATTAGATTCAACTTTATTGTTATTGCACAGATTACAGGTACTGAGGCGTAGGCTCCACGAGGACGAAAACGGGTTGAATCCGCATATTTCTCATGCGTATCGCCCTTTAAGCTCGACGACGCCGTAACAGAAACGTAGAAACAGACCCCGCAAACGACAACGGGTCCAAAGGTGGATAGATCTGGGAACGGAGCGCTCTGGGGGGTCCAACGGGGCCGTGGGGTCGCCTATACGGTCATGCGTTTCATAGCCCCGCCTCTCCCCGCCTCTCCCCACCTCTGCTGCTCACCCCCGCAAAAGTACACTGCACACTGAATTCAGATTATTTATCTTTATCTCGATATGAACATAAACGCGAGTGAAGTCTAATCTGACAGGACGGAGACACGCAGCTCCTCCGGCTGTGAAGCAGCCACACACTTCAAGTCAGATCACCACCCTTAGCTATTTTAATTACCTCTCAAACTACCTAAACTAGTTATAAATATGTTTATTTTTACTGTCGGGTTTACTTACTGGATCAGCTGCTGCATGAGGAAGCATGAAGATTTAAACTTTAACACACATTGACCGGCGAAAAACTCTGCGCGGTTCCCTCCGCCCCCACCGCGGAGAATAAACAGAAGTGCAGCCATGACAACCATTCTTCTTCGCTGCTTTTGTGGAGGAAGTTACAGCGCCACGTACAGGTTCGGCATATGTACTGCAGCTTTTCCAGCGGTTGGATGTAAACGGAGCCGTCTCGTGGAGCTTGACACAATCCGGTGTATATTGCGTGTGGTCGGAAGGTTTTTTGCGGTTGCGTTTGCGTTACTCCGATGCGTTTTGCCGTATTTGTCCTCGTGGAGCCGGGGCCTAAGACAACAAAATGCAGTTTAGCTTCTAACCAGGAGTGCATAAAGCAGTAAAGTGAAAAGTAATGTACACAATCTACAGAATAAAATATAGAATGAATTGAATGATGAATAAACAGTGAGGGGTATGAATACACTATATACACAGTAGCCTAGCCTAGTATTAACAGTGTGTTGTATGAATATGCTAAGATATATAAAGTATGACAACGGTAAGCAGTGCAAGTATAGTATACAAATATATAGATATTAATTTCATGATGACAAACATTGATGATGATGAAAAATGTGAATGGAAGTGGCGACGTAAAACTGACACAAAACAACAACACACTTTTGCCGAGCCAATGGAGAGTTTCATCACCAGCACGGGGTAAAAACCTCCAATGAGCGCTCAGCTCGAGATACCAGCAAGTCGTTTCCCATCAAGCATTTTGCTTCCGCAGCCCGGGGAGAGAAACTGCGCCGCCTCGCCGCGCCTCGCTCTCAAGTCTGCGGGCGTCTTTGTCCCGCGAGATTTCAACGTCTCATGTAGGCGAGCCTCCAGAGCAAGTCGGACAAAATGACTAACCATCATGCAACGCACTAGCAAGACGTTGATCGCAATTGCGCAGGTCTGCGCAGGTCTCGCTTGTCTCAAACAAGCCTAATATCTGCAGAGAGCTAAATCACTTTTTTTCCATTTAAAGTGAACAAATGTAACCAATATAAGATTGAAAACGAATGTGCATATCAGAAAGCCTTACCACCAGTGTGTTGTATTGTGTACTTCAGGCAGCTGAGTAAAACATTGCCAACCAATCCTGTTGAAGCATGCAGTGTGAGGGTGACGTAAACACATGGGTTTGATTTGAATTAAAGGTACAGTAACTGACCCAACAGCAACCATGTTATAAAGCCATTGCTACCTGAAGATATAGTAAATGCCTTTAATAACAGAGCATTGTATTTTTGTCACGCAACTTCCTCATCCAGTAGGAGTTGGTGACTCATTGCTGCCGTGCTTTAGGAGTTTGTCATCTACAGGTAAGAGAATACTTTAGTTTTTTAAGGTCTCCTTAGTGAAACCAGCGCTGTTCTGATAGAATGCAACATTAAGAAAGAAGAGTAAATTCATGTCTAAATCCTGATATTAAAATGTTGTTGAAACTGTTTTAAATAGGCATAGTTTCATATATGCCGTTTTTAAGGCTGTTGATGGTACTACTGAATTTAACTGTGTTTGTGTTTGTCTTCCCTCGTTGACATTGTGACTTGTGTCACAAGGTGCTTGGACGAGACAGTCATGATCAGTTTAAGTAATCTTATGGTAAACTCAAACAATGGATTATAGACAAAGGGGGTATTTGAAGTGGTAGGATTGTTTTCAGGATGTTTCAAACTGGACATACTGGAAAATTAGAAATGGCTGGTCAGTACTTGTGATCTATAATGTGTCAGACCAATACAAACACTCATAACATGTAAAAGCATTTTCTGTGATCCTGTTTATCAAAGAAAAAACTAAAGTAATTTACTGAATAGTTTTTCACTACAAAACTCGAAACACTTAAAAATATCTTTAGGTCGAATTATACACTTTCTGACACATGTTCAGATATCATTTACGAGTGGTGATGTTGCGTCCAACCCATGTGATTACGATTTCAAATGAATGTCTGTTCAATACTTTTAGGGGATAAATATCTAATAAAACCATGTTGCTAAAAACTGTATTACTTGCACACTGTTCAAAGCTATAGGTACCCTCGAAGAGTATCCTTGAAGGGCATTAATAATTCTGGCGATATTCTCACCTCTGCCTTCTCTTTAGATAATGGAGCCGATTCAATCACCTGAAACTGCAGACATTCAGCCACTCTCTCCCTCTGTTCCTGTTCCTCCCACACTGAGAGATGGAGAGTGTTACCATGTCTTCATTAGCTACAGCAGCACTGACTGCCAGTGGACCCACTGCCTCATCGACCAGCTGGAGGCCTGCGGCCTGCAGGTCTGCTACCATGAGCGAGACTTCACCCCCGGCCGCACCGTGTTGGAAAACATGTCCGACTGCATCCAGGAGAGCCAGAAGGTCCTGCTGGTTCTCAGCCCAGAGTTTGTGAGGAGCCGCTGGTGTCTCCTGGAGGCCAACATGTCTTTGTTCAGAGACTGCCTGGAGAGGAAGCCCATCGTCCCAGTGCTGCTGGAGCCAGGAGTCTCTGTTCCTCTCCACCTCTGCCACCTCACCTACCTCGAGGCCAACGACCCCGACTTCAAGAATAAGCTGCTCAAGGTGCTCTGCACCCCCAACCAGCAGCTTCAAGGGTCCACCGTGCTGCCCTTCCATCCCCCCTCCATCTACAACGGGAAGGCCCTGCAGCCGTTGGTTGCTGTAAATGAAGACAGTCTCAGTAAATGGGATTGTGGTCAGTTCAGTGACATGGAGGTACCAGACCAGCTGCGCCTGATCATTGAGGACCAAGAGAAGTACAGAAAGGCTGTGAGGATGATCAACAGTGTGTCTCAAAATAAGCGACCACTCTGGGTTACAGGTATGATGTTAATTGCTGCTGGGATAATGTGTTTGTCTTTGCTCGCTCTATCAACTTATATGGTAGTCATGTTGTTTGCTGATGATAACATACATGTGAACAAAACTCTTTGGGTGATCGTTTGTTGTAGTTTGTATTGTTTATTCTTTGCGACGGTAATTCAGTTGTCTCTCTCGAAAAAGGACCAAGCGAAGTACATAGTCCGGGAGATGCAGAAAGCTTTGGGCCAGGCAAACATCATTCTGTGTGATGAGAAGGTGTTAATGGGCTCTCAGTCAAATTCAAAAATCTATCTGGTGTATGTTTCTCTGAACGGTTGCAAACATGAGTTTGCAGAAACGTTTTCTGATCAGGTTTGTCCTGAAGAAATGTTTCAAAAAGCTCTGCTGTACTTCTCATCAGGTTACGCCTGCTGCCTTGCTAAAAGACACTTCCCCTTTCCCCTGCCCAGCTCCACAGCTCACCTGGAGGGAGGGGTGTGTTTCTGTCAGTATGTGTCCCAGCAGCTGAGTGTGGACCAATGGGAGTAGCAGTGTCCACATGTGTGACCTAACTATTGAATAATAACTGGATCATCATGAAATGTCTGCATTATTATAAGCCACTTAGTCCCACTGAAGGCACAGCGACTTTATTCATGTTAGCCCTCAGATATCAGAATGAGTCTCTTTCACAAACCTTCACCTTCTGCTTCACAAAAGCATGAACTGTGAGCAGGATGTTTCTCATCTCTTACATCCTGACTTTACTTTCAGTTATTTGCCATCCGCACCATGCGATCACTGTTCATTGTAATTGCTGGAATTAATGTTGTCTAAATCAGGTACGAACATGCATTGTTTTGCGAATATTTTTGTTTTGTGTGAATTTAGTTTTGATACGTAGACTGAGCTTCATCATTCTGTTGTTTTTAGAAACATCAATCGAGGTATGAAAGCTTCTGTGTCCTCAAGCTATCTTTTGGGTGAATCACCTTCCTGATTGACTTGTTCTTCTGTTATTTCCAATGTGTATGTTTCTTTATATCTTGAATGTTTAAAACTCTGACAAACTCTGTAAGTAATCTTGTTTAATTAATGTTTTTTTATACAAATAGGCTAATTATGATGGAAGCAGCAGAGAGCTTCTTGAATACGGATTGTTATGCAGTGAGTGACTGTAGAAGAAAGCTTTAAAATGTGTGATTTTGTATTACTTATAATCAACTGAAAATCCTTGCCTTCTACTTTTTACAGTGTATTGTGTAATTTGTAATCATAATATTACTAACAGAACTGAACTTTTCTGCAAACCTAAACTTGTTTGAGAGCCTTTTATTTTACATTACATGTGGGAGTATCATGATGACTTGGAGGAACTTCTACGTGTATTGATAATGACTTTATTTTCAAACATTGGATCCGAACCAAATACAAATGTAATACTCAAGGTTGAAAAAAATGAACATATTATCGTTTGCTTTCACTGTGGATAAAAAAAAAAAGATTTACTTTTCATTATTCTGAATCTAATGAGAAAGATGTGCTTTTCTAAGATGGCCGCTTTTGGGTGATTGAAAACTTAAAAAAAAAATCCTTTTCTAGAAGTATGCTGACAGAGCATCTCGTTAGCCTTGTTGATACAAAATAAAATATGTGTTTTATTTCTTCTGAAGGTATTATTAGTAAGTAAATGTGTGGCATCTATGTTCTGCCAATATCACACTCCAAAACACAGAGTTCGAAAAACAACAATACAATTATTTAAAGACAACTTAAATCACTGAACTTCATTCACTGAGTCTCAGTGGGACTTTCAAAGGTGGTTTAAAAGGTGGAGATAAGGTGGAGATATATTATCATAAAAAACAAATGCCTAGAATTGTTGAAAAAATCATGCCTACAGTATATCTCTAAATCATATTTTCTTTTTACTTTAGTTTTTTTTGTATAGATAATGGAGCCAATTAATTCACTTGAGACTGCCGACATTCAGCCACTCTCTCCCTCTGTTCCTGTTCCTCCCACCCTGAGAGATGGAGAGAGTTACCATGTCTTCATTAGCTACAGCAGCACTGACTACCAGTGGACCCACTGCCTCATCGACCAGCTGGAGGCCTGCGGCCTGCAGGTCTGCTACCATGATCGAGACTTCACTCCCGGCCGCACCGTGTTGGAAAACATGTCCGACTGCATCCAGGAGAGCCAGAAGGTCCTGCTGGTTCTCAGCCCAGAGTTTGTGAGGAGCCGCTGGTGTCTCCTGGAGGCCAACATGTCTTTGTTCAGAGACTGCCTGGAGAGGAAGCCCATCGTCCCAGTGCTGCTGGAGCCAGGAGTCTCCGTTCCTCTCCACCTCTGCCACCTCACCTACCTCGAGGCCAACGACCCCGACTTCAAGAATAAGCTGCTCAAGGTGCTCTGCACCCCCAACCAGCAGCTTCAAGGGTCCACCGTGCTGCCCTTCCATCCTCCCTCCATCTACAACGGGAAGGCCCTGCAGCCGTTGGATGCTGTTAATGAAGACAGTCTCAGTAAATGGGATTGTGGTCAGTTCAGTGACATGGAGGTACCAGACCAGCTGCGCCTGATCATCGAGGACCAAGAGAAGTACAGAAAGGCTGTGAGGACGATCAACAGTGTGTCTCAAAATAAAGTTTGGTTCCGCCCCGTTTGGGTTAGAGTATTAATTCACATTATTGGCATAATATTGCTTTTCTTGGTGGTTGCATTCAATGTATTTTCAATGATTAAATTAGGAGAGTATTCAAAGGTAATCAGAGACTCTGTTGTAGCACTTGTTCTCTCTAGTGCTAGCCTGTACTTGGTTCCATTGGGATTGTTGATTCATATCTGTCTCTGGAAGAATGATGATGAAAAGTACATAGTGAGGGAAATGAAAAAAGCTATTGGCCAGGCAAACATCATCCTCTCTGAGGAGAAAGTGTTAATGGGCCGTCGGTCCAACTCAAAAATCTCTCTGGTGTATGTTTCTCTGGACCGCTGCAAACATGAGTTTTCAGAAACGTTTTCTGATCAGGTTTGTGCTGAAGATTTGTTTCAAAGAGCTCTGCTGTACTTCTCATCAGGTTACGCCTGCTGCCTTGCTCAAAGACACTTCCCCTTTCCTCAGCCCAGCTCCACCGGTCACCTGGAGGGAGGGGTGTGTTTCTGTCAATATGTGTCCCAGCAGCTGAGTGTGGACCAATGGGAGTAGCATTGTCCACTAGGGGTTTCACAACTACCTATATTTACTAGTCGACAAGTTTTTCAAAATAGTAGTCGACTAGCCGACTAGTTGTTACGTAATAATAAAGACACACAAAGAGAGGTGTAAAACTGTATTTTGTATTGTAATTCATACAGTTACGTTAAACACTGTAACAAAGCAGCATTTTAATTTGTGTTACATGCTGTTACATGGCTGATTAAATAAAAAACAGTAACTGGACTCACCAAATCTTCTGCAAAAACTCTGTTAAGAACATAAATGCAACGTAAATCCACTGCGCATTGCGCAACACTTTACTCGCTGACTGTCACTGTCCTCCTCGATAACGATGTCCACCCTTCCAGGTTTTTTGTTTTGCGTTAAGGAAGACAAAAGCATCAACATGTGAGGGAAAGAGGCTTGACCGCTGTCGGGTGACAGTGGTGCCTGCCAGGGAAAACATCCGTTCACTTGGGGTGCTGGTGTAGCCAGGTAGCTCCTGGAAAGCTTGGCTAAACGGGGAAAGCGGTTTGCGTTTTGTGCCCACCACTTCAGAGGGTTATCCATTGTGGGGATATGGGGTGTCTGCTGGCAGTAATCCCGTAGCTCATCCGCGCCACTGTTGACCCGTTTTTTCTTGTTGCTCTCGAAATGAGGTCCAAACAGCTGTTCAAAGGGGGGGGTGTTAGTGGAGCACGCTCGTGAACTTTTAGTGCCGGAGCTAAAACTGAAACTGTAGAGCGCATAATTGCGGCGCATTTGCGCATAAAATGAGGAACCCTGAATGTCAGACGTGTTTTGCTGGAGCATTTTGCAGCACCTCAGCGCCAATGTCGGCATCCTCATCTCCCACATTTGTCTCCATTTTGTTCACGACTAGTTGACTTGGGCCTACAGCGCCAACTAGTGGTAGAGGTAGTCGACTAGTCGACTAGTCGATTAGTTGGTGAAACCCCTAGTGTCCACATGTGTGACCTAACTATTTAATAATAACTGGATCATCATGGAATGTCTGCATTAGTATAAGCCACTTAGTCCCACTGAAGGCACAGCGACTTTATTCATGTTAGCCCTCAGATATCAGAATAGGTGCGTTCACACCATAGACTGTATATATAAATGGACGTAGGGTCCGTGACGTCACCCATAGGATTCTGCAGAGTTGCCGAGAAGCCCTTAGTAGGCGGAGTCGGCCACTAACGGCTCGACAGTGGCGTCAGAGTCAGACTCCCGCCTGCTACAGCCTGATCCAAATAAGGGCAAAGAGGCGGGACCTTCTGCCAACGGGCGTGAAGTTCCAGACCTAGCTCAGGCTAAGAAGCTAAGCTAACATGCTCCCAGTATTAAGCTAACAACCCAGCTTGCGGTCACTGCTCCTCGTTCCCGGCATATTCTGAAGGTAAGATCCCCTGTAACTTTACATAACTTGTCCTTTTGATTTAAATGTTCTTGAACCTACACTATACAATTGTATAATTAATAATAATTATAATAATTGTTTTTTAAGTGCTTCACCGTTTTTCAAATATAAATGTCATTTGTAACAACTTTGTAAACTAGCAGATATGGCCAGTGTTGCGTGAATTAGCCTATGGAATTAGCCATAAACTGTGGCCTATACAGTATGTAAAGGAATTAGCGTATTGTGAATTAAACAAAGCTTTTCCCTATGACTTAACTGTTCTTGATATTACACTATACAAGTTTAAAAACGCTTCTTCATGATTCAAATATAAACAGTGTAATATGCATGGGCTAACAAATGCAAAATGTGCATATTTATACTTTTTGACCATCAATTGTATATACATTTAATCCAACGTTACTGTTTCAACAGCGCTGTGAGAGTATAAATTAAATATGACTGTAGAAAAAGAAAGGCGCTTTTATATTGATTAAACCATTTTTATTTCTTTCAGAATTAAGAAAAAAAGATGGGAACCTCCTCCACAACCTGTAAGTTGATGGTCCTGGCTTACTTTACATGACTTCAGATGGTTGACATTACACACAAACATACTATATCTATATACATATATATATATATATATATATATATATATATATATACGTCAGGTGTGATTTCATAGTTATGTTGTATGTTATTGTCAAAGGAACAAAATGAGCAACCCTTTATACTTAATTTGATATTCCTCATTATCTGAAGCATTTGTTACTCTCATTTATTTTCCTCCCATAGTGACTGTATGGATAATCGGAGACAGCTATGTCCGGCGTGGAGCCCAGAGAGCTACAGAGACCATCGGCAGCAACCTTGGCCTCGACCTTCGCGCCTGCTGGTTCGGTTGGGGTGGACTGCACTGGAGAGGTCTCCTCCCCTTCTTTTCCAACTCCCTGCGAGGAAGAGCAGCCCCGGATGTCCTCCTCATCCACTGTGGCGGCAACGACTTGGGGGATGTGCCCAGTGTTCACTTGGTGAATCAGATGAAGGAGGACCTGCACCAGCTTCACCATCGGCACCCTGGCATGAAGATCATGATCTCCCAGATCAACCAGAGGTGCCGATGGAGGGCTGGTGCAAATCCTGTCAAAATTGACAAGGCGCGGAAGTTTGTTAACAGTGTTATGGCTACTTTTGTTCATAGCCTAAATGGTGCCATTGTTGACCACTCCAACATTAGACATGACAGTCCTGGGCTTTTTTTGCGAGATACTGTAGAGTTCATTTCACCCCTAGGGGAAATTATATTTTTTTAAAGTCACTAGCCAATTGCCTGAAAGACCATCTCCAAAGACTGTGAACTGCTAAAATGTCAGTATCACTGTTTTTGGATTTGGCCTTTAGAGTATGTTTTCTAAGGCCCTTGCTAAGCCCAGACTGTCATGGCTAATGTTGAGTTAGATATTACATCTGTAGCCATAACACTGTTAACATGGCTGCTCTTCCTCTTCCCCACATCCCACCCCCCCTCTTCCCCCTCCCCACATCCCACCCCACCCCCCCTCTTCCCCCCAATGGACTCTGTAGCTCTCCAGGCCCATGCTGGGCATGGCTGTCTGTCAAACCTTTTTTTTTATTATTTGTTATTATGTTTTTTGTTATTTTATTTGTTAAAATAATTCTGTAAATATTTTAAATAAATCACATTCATATTTTCACTTCTTTTGTCTACTGCTTACTGAAGATGTTAGCTATCACATCCAAATCTGACTATCAAATGAAAGGATAAGCTAACCATACAATACAGAAAACATTACACATTAAGGCTCAAATCTTTTCCCAAGCCGTAGCAGTCTGAAAAGAGTCCCAAGTTTAAAAACACAAAATCTTGACAATGAATACTACCTTGTCATTTATCAGTGACAATGCAAACACCAAGAAGGTCTTCCCTAATCCCATGTATTTTAGCATCAAATATTTCATAAGCATACCATAGAATGTAATTATGAAGTGCAATACCCACAATCCCTACAGGGTCGTAACATCACAGAAAATAATACCTTTTAGAGAGTTTCTAAATTGTTCAGTATGCAGATAATTATTTGTTTTACAAAAGAAACATTTTTCTCAATAAATGTTCCCACATGTTGTGAGCATCAACTTTAAATCTTTTGTCATCAAATAAAAAACATCTTAATTTCCTTTACGACAACATTTTGTTTATAACACCACTACATTAACAATAAGCATAGGAAAATTATAAATGTATAATTTAAGATTGTGCTTTTACTCTTTATTTAATCAGATCTATTTCTCATTGAAAATGTACGACTTAAGTACACTAGAAAATAAATGAAAGATGTGCAACAACTGTATCAGTAATTCAAATGATATAACTTATGTACAGGGTTGGGAGGGCTACTTGCCAAAATGCAACCAGTAACTTAATGTGAGTATCAAGATATAAAAGTAATGTACTGTAACCTGATAACTTTATTTTTCTTTTGGATTACCTCAATATCAAATGCAATGCAAATAAACACAGGAGAGAAGAAATATTAATATGATTTTTTTACTTAAATGTATAATATACATAAAGCTGATTCAGGCAGTAGGTGTATAGATTCACAATTAAAGTATTAGCCTACAGAACAGTACCGCTTCCAGAGAAGAGAGAACATCTGATCATTTTACAACAAACACTATATGCTCTTTTCAGGTTTTGAATAAGATTGTAATCCTGAGTTTCCCTATTATTAAAAAAAGTCAAACTAATCCGATTACATCTTTTCCTATGTAACTAAGGATTACACTTTCCTTTTTTTCTATACGATCTTGATTCGTGTTGGATGTAATCCATTACTACCTAAGCCAATAAAAGTCATAACTTTTGGAAAATTGTCTCAAGTTATAAATTATGCCTTCAATCTCTTTCACGTGGGGAAGACATCACATTGGCCGAGGCGTTGCAACTTCCCTCAAGCGTCCTACATGAAAGAAAGATCACATGTTAAAAATGTGTGCACAAACTATTCAGTATGACCCGTCTTAGTTTAAAGCCCACTCACCACGACAAGGTGT